AAGATGGCATGCGATTAATTAAGAAATAGGCTGTTGAAACCGCATCTACCCAAAATTGCTTAGGAACCTTCATGTGAAATAGAAGGGGCCTAGCAATTTCTAATAAGTGCCTATTTTTCCTTTCAGCAACACCATTTTGTGGTGGTGTGTCAGGACATGAAGATTGGTGAAAGATTCCATTTTCTGACATATATGAATTAAAAGATTTAGAAAAGTACTCTTTTGCATTATCACTTCGCAAAATGTGGACAGACACATTGAATTGTGTTTTTATTTCAGAACAAAAGGAACAAAAGATATTAAATAAATATGAACGACTTCTCATTAAACTAAGAAAAAGGGAGAGAAAATACTCTTCTTCATATCTTTGGACTACACAATATACAAATATATATACACAAGTGTAACTTAATTTAGATCCTAAAATCATGCTAATCTAAATCAATCTACTACCTAATTAATATATGATACTATAATCATATGATACCTAATTAATACATGATACTATAATCAAATCTTTCCTAATATTTACAATAACAAATCTTTCCATAATATCAGATCACATATCTTCAACAAAAAGAAATAAAGATATCAATGAGTCTTGAAAGCTCTAACTTAGCTGAAAAAGAATGCTTTGAACTTCTAAAATTTGATCTAATTGAATTTTTAGATTCCCAATGGGCATACCAAGCATTCTATGTGAACAAAAGATCTGAACAAGCATTAGGAAAAATGAGTCTGGTTATAAATTACCAGCCTTTAAATATTTTTCTTCTTGATGATAAATTTTCCATTCCAAATAGGTTCACCCTTTTTGCTCAAATTGCCAAAGCTAAATGGTTTTCAAAATTTGATCTTAAATTAGGTTTCTGGCAATTAGGCAAATGTCCTGAAAATAGGCATAAAATGAAATTTGTATCCCAAATCATCATTTTCAATGGATAGTGAAGCCTTATGGCCTCAAAACAATCCCATCTCTTTTTCATAAAGCCATGATTAAAATTTTTTCAACCCATATTGCATACTACTCTGGTTTACATTGATGACTTTCTTCTTTTTAGTCAGGCATGGGAGGAGCATATCGAATTGCTTTATCAATTCTCTGAAATTGCTAAACAATATGGAATTATGCTTTCTAAGAAAAAAATGATTTTGGCAAAAGAAGAAATTCAATTTCTTGGAATGAAAATTTCTGAAGGAAAATGTACTCCTGAAAATAATGTTGGTTAGTCTCTTACAAATTTCCTTGAAACAAATTTGACCAAACAACAAGTTCAATAGTTTTTGGGAGTCGTCAATTATGTCCGAGAATTCCTTCCTGATGCAATCAAGCTTATTAGTCCTTTGACTAAAATGCTTAAAAGGAAACCTCCTTCATGGGGACAAAGCAATTCAGCAATTGAAGGAACAACTCCTTAACCTCCCAACCTTGCACATTCCATCTGAAGGCAAAAGGATTTTGCAGACAGATGCCAGTGACAAATATTGGAGAGCAGTCCTTTTTGAAGAAGACTCAAAGGGTGAAAGACATTGCTACGGATTTGCTAGTGGCAAATTCAAAAACTATGAACAGCATTATCATTCTTAATTCAAAGAAATTTTGGTTGTTAAAATGGGAATTAAGAAATTCTTTTTCTTTCTAATTGCTCATCATTTTCAGGTCGAAATGGATATGGGTTCTTTTCCAAAGATGCTGCAATTCAAGCAAAAAATCATACCTCACCCACAACTACTCAGATGGTCAGCCTAGTTCTCACAATGTTCCTTTGACATAAAACATATCAAAGGTAAAAACAATGTTGTTGCTGATTTCTTCTCTAGAAAAAAAAATCAATCAAACAAATCTCATCATTTGCCATGTTTTCACCCGTCTTCCAAAATCTTCCTGAAATTATCCTTGGCAAAAAGAGGATATAGAAAGAATTAGAAACACTTATGCACTAGAAGTTTTTGGTTCGCATGGTGGTTCTATTTTGAATCCATTTGGAACCAATCCAAAATATCCTTTTTATCAAATCTTCATAGCCCAACCTCTTGATTTCCCAGAACCTCTCTTATGGTATTTTTGGTGCTTATGCCATCAATAACATATCCCTATGGAATATCAAAACCCATTTTTTTAACCAATCTTTAACACGTAATCTTCAAATTTTCCTGCAATGGTTCAAACCCTTATCTTTCTGGCATAATTTGTTTTCAAAAAATTCAAATGATATTATCTTCCATTTCCATAAACCAAATCATCTATCAGGAAACCAAATCCAAACTCTTCCAAGTGCAGTTGTCTATAGGGAATTTCCCCATACTATTTTAGACATTGATGAAGTGTATGAAGAAACCCAAAGGTACATATTCCAACAAAACCAATGCATCCCACAAGAAATTTGGACAGGACATTAGTGTCCTTGAAACTATTGTACCAATCATCCCCCTTGGAATGCAGTTCAAAAGGCCAAGAAAGAATATCTGGCAATGGTGAATGATAGTGTTATGCAAGACTCACAAGATCTTTTTGATCCAGGAGCAAGTTCCTCTACACCCTCTTTCAAAGAAAGGACAGAAAAACAAAGAAATCTCAATAAAATACGGAATAAAAGAAGACACATGGACCACATTAAGATATACAACATCACTGATCCAGATAGAACTCCATCAGACACACTAGATGATGACATTTACTACCCCACTCATGTCTGAGTCATTTGTCTTTTACTTTTCCAAAGAGTCGTCTTACTGTTTGAAGAGTCGTTTGTTTCTTACTTTTTTGAAAAGTCATTTACTGTTTGAAGGGTTGTACTTTACTTTTTTGAAGTGCCATTTGGCTTTTGTTTTGAATGAAAGGTCATCTAATACCTTTCGAAAGGCTTGAATAGCCGTCTTCCTTATGTATAAAAGTTGGAATGAAATGGAAGAAGGGCAGATGGCAGTTTGAATAAGTCTAGTAGTTTTCCTAAAATCATGAAAGCCTAAAATCATTCCTATTCCCTTTAGACAGGCAATGATCCTTATGAATGAGTAAGCTCTTGGTTGTTTCATAAAAGTCCCTTGAACTGTTTGAAGCCATGATCGTTAAGTGTTGTTCGGGAATACCTTGGAAAATCTTGAGCTGCTCTGAAAGTTTTTTGAAGTTTGAAAAAGGGAAAAAAGAGAATCTCTTGATAAAAATGGTGACATTTGTTGTATACTTGATACTTTGTCTTCTATTTGCTCCCTTGTAGTAATCTCATCTCAGGTAGCCTAGTACGAGGAATTGTTTTCTTACTCATCCTGTATATCATGTCAACTGATTGACCTATTATACATTTTTGATAATGTCTATCCACAAAAATAATCCAATGTTCTGTCTTATTACTGAAGAGATGCTGAATTCTCAGGTAGTAGAACTATTACAAGTTCAACAAAGTCAGATCTTTGCACATCTCCATACTGAGTACAAGGTTAGAAATTGTTGCTGATGGTTGCCTAATAATCCTTCAGGAAATGTGTAGTATTCAAAGAGAGAAATGATGATTCATTGGCAAAAACCTAGTTACTAGATACTCATATGACCAAATTAAATGCATAAAATTGACAAAGATGCCAACATACGGTTCTATCATGTTATTGGTCCTTTCTTAATTTTCTATTTACGTTTCATAAAATTGTGGCATTAACAAAAAAATAAAGGTTAAAATTATCCCATTGCGGCAAAGAGAGAGTGGCATATGTTGTAGCCACTTGAGTCAACAAATCACTTTGAACTTGGTGGCCAATGAAATTCACAAGCTTGGCAGCAGTCTAAGGAGGATAGCTCAAAATTTTGGGGCCTGACTAAAGATAATTGTTAAAGAAGACAGACCAGCTTCATTGGGAATTTGGTCATTGACACTGTTATTGCAGTGACATATCTTGTTAGCTGCTTGTTTATTTAAGAAATTTGAAATTTTCCCTGTTAATCTATCAAAGAGGTGAGAAGGTAAATCCATTCGCTATCAGGAGATGGATCTCAACTGAATTGGAAAAGGTCAAGAGTGTGCTGTAAATGATACATAAGATTCTAGTTTGGGGCAGATATGTGTAAGACACGGATACAAGTGCCGACAGAAATGCTGAAAAACACCATTTGGAGAGCTTATTCAAGAAATTGCACCTGTGAAATATGGAGACATTGACAGAGGACAGCATTAGATTGAGTGATCTTATATTTTGAAGGGCAATCATCCAATTTAACCACAAAAGATAAAAGGTTTTCAGTTGTAGAAGAAGAGCATCAACTGATTAATGAGTTCTTCTGTTTGACTCTACTATCCTGTTTTTCTTTTCCATCCACACAAAAAATAAAAGATAAAAATTCTTGGGTCAAATTGGCATGTTGAAACAACATGAATACTCTTATTCAAGTAAGAATTTAAAGCAAAAGGAATTTTCCACCAGCAATGTATCTTTCTGCCCACTCTGCAGACCATGCAGGTAGGAATAGTTTTGTAAGACCAAATAAAGAATAACAGTTATCACGTCATTTCCACCAGATTATTTCTCTCCTCTACTAATCAATTTTTAGGATATTGTACTTAAGCATATAGATGAGAAGCATCTTGCTCTGATAAAGTGGAGTTTGGAAGCATCATTCTTATGAGATTGAAAGAGGAGATTTCAACACTAACAAGAAAATTTTCAGTTACTTCTTCTGGCAATTCTATGCATAAAAAATTCATTAAAAAAAAGTCCTTGAGACAATAGTAGGGGGAAAAAGGATTCATACAACACCAACTGAAATAGAACACAAATCATGGTCTGAAACAACAAAAAAAATCTGCTTATACTAATCGAGTAATATAACTTGTTTTGTAATGGGAGTTGGACAGAGAAGAGAGACACCAGGAGCTATTAGAATGAAATAGTAAACAAAAAGTAACAGAAAAACTTAGTCAAATTGCTGATACAATTGCTTTCTCATGCTATGTTTTGTTCCATATAATATCTGGATCATATCTGTTTGGACCAATCTTGTTGTAATTGACTTACTCCAAGTACTCCAGCTCAGGAAACATTTCGTGTAATTTTGGCTTGTCAACTTTCAAGTTCTTCAGATACTTCAAAAGTAAAATTTTAACTTTCCACTTTTGTTCATCTTGGAGCTCTAAGCTGCTGAGTTCACCTCCCCTAATGTATAGTTTTTCCAAAGATATCAATCCAACAGGCTCTAGCCAGTTAGGCCTGGTCGTTATGGGTAGACACCTGAGATCAAGTTTCTTAAGATTTGGTGGGACTGAGAAGGACCTCAGAACAGCTTCTGTACTCAACTGCAAGGAAATTATTCCCCATGATATTACCAGAATTTGAAGGGCCCTTAAGTCTTCAAGTTTGAAAATTCCCCTTCACCTAAAACTTCACTCCCAATTTGTATGCTCAATTTCCTTAAACTTTTCAACCGAGCAAGGTCACTTAGCTTGCACGGATTTCTTCTGACATTTCCTATCACAAAACCCTTAAGTACTTGGAGAGCAGAGAGCTCTTCAATACCCTTTGGCATGCTTTCGAGCAGGTAACACTCTGATACGTCCAAGTGAGTAAGGTTTCTAAGTGCTGATACATCGGAAGGCAGTTTCTCCAGACTATGACATGCTCGTAAATCAAGAATCTCAAGGCTTATCAGGTTAAGCACCGAACGAGGTAGGGCAGTCAATCTGGAAACACCTCTGAGGCTTAGATATCTTAAGGATGTCTGAGTTCCCAAACCATTCAAAGATACGTCATATTCCACTTTCTTTTTCTTCTTCAAGTCGACTACCAAATTTTCATTTTCCACTTCCATATGGTGTTTGACAGAGCTTTGCCAGCGGCCTAATTGAAGAACCTCAACAGTCTTCAATTTGGAGAGCCAGTCAGATTTAAATCCAAGGTATTGCTCAGTTACATTGAAAACTGTAAGAGTATCCTCAGTCATTGCACTATACGAATCACTACTTCCCGCCAATAAAAGTGCATGATGATGGCCAATGCTAGGCTTCCATGTTGCAACCACGATCAACATTCTACGGACCCAAGGATGCACCATACAACTATTTATATTGGGAGAAGAGTTCTCACAAATTGGAATTATGAATCCTTCGTTTATCAAATCTTTAAATACAGATTCTCCAACCTCCTCCGATGTCCTGTTGTTAGTTTTAGTGACCATGCCTTCTCCCATCCACCAGTAAATAAGGGGTCTTTTCTTTATGATGCTGTTCTCTGGGAAAATCGAAAGACACAAGGAGCATGCTTTTAGCTGACAGCTCTCGAGACAGTCGAAACTTTTTCGAAAATTTGACATTGCTTTGCTTGCATATATTTTCTCCTCCACACCAAGTCTCAACCACTCTTCAGATGATGCCTGATCCTCGCCAACAACCTCCCCAAACGGGAATTGCATTCCAGAAAACGACATTGTACGTGCTCTATCCATCAGCTGCCTTTCAACTGCTGAAAAAGCTGTTTTATAGACACCACACTCCCACTGATGTGCTCCAATCTTTCAAGAATCTCATTAACATTATTGTGGTGCTTAAATACATCATCATCATCAATTTCTTGCTCCAAACCTCTGAATTGTTCCACAAGTATTCCTTTCCAATGTTTGATCCTAGGGAATAAATGTTTCATGCTGCCTAGTTCGATCTCAATTTCTTTGAATTTCAAAACTAAAGGGTTGTCAGTGTGGCTTTAGTCCCACATCGCTAATAGCAAAGGAAATTCTTTCCTTTGTTATCTATAAATATGGAGTCCTATGATAGGATTAAGTGCATCAAATCAAGAGAGCATTAGTGGGCTATTTGGGCCTTTGGGTCATTAAGCCTTTTGTTCAGTTAAATATTTTGGACTCTCTTGTGTTTTAGTATTAGGTGTTGTGGGTCTGGGAACACTTTCCTAAGGCATTTTTGTACTCTCTTCTTCATAGTAAAATATTGTTTCTCCTCCGCTCGTGGACGTAAGTCAATTTGACCGAACCATGTAAATTTCTGTGTTCCTGTTTTATTTATTTCTGCTTTGTTATTTGTCTTTTGGGTTGCCAAAAATTCTTTCGTCAATTTCCTGGGGTCAGTCCTAACAAACTGGTATCAGAACTTGAGGTTATTCTGAATATGCTCTGTGGTCGCAGTTAAATCTGATCTTCCACATCGAAAAAGATATCCTTGGACACTGGTCCATTTGTGGGGTCCGCCTGTGGGACCAGTAGGGCCTGTTTGTAGGGTTCGTAGGGTCCACTTTGTGGGGTCAGTGGGGTCCTCCTGTAGGACCAGTAGAACCTGTCTGTGAGATCAGCCTGTCGGGTCCACTCACCTTGTGGGGCCTACTCATTGTTGTTCGAAAGCTTTGGATTTTTGTGGCAATAATGACAATAACAAAGATTGTCGTCGAGAAATTCGACAGGAATGTCAACTTCAGGATGTGACAGCTTAAGATGGAGCCCATTTTGGTTCAAGACGGAGTTAATCTAGCGATACACGGAATCGAGAAAAAGTCAGGAAATGTGATAGATGCAAATTTTGCTAAGATAGATAAGAAGGAAAGGCAAATCTCTCTGACGAGGTTTTGCAAGAGGTAGCCATTGAGACTTCGGCAAAGGCCTTGTATATGAAGAAAACAGTTGAGAATTGGCTTTATTTAAAGCAAAGTCTATGTATGCTTCGCATAACTGAAGGTACATCTATACTCTCACATCTTGTTAAATTTGATTCCATTATTATGAATTTGGAGAATATAGATTCAAAAATTGATGATGAGGATCAGGCCCTGTTACTTTTGTGTTCTCTTCCCCAATCTTTTAAATATTTTCATGATACTATGATTTATGGAAAAGAAACAATTTCGTATCAAAAAATTAAATGTGCATTAAAATCTAAGGAGTAGATAGACAGGGATATTATTGAAAAATTTAATGGAGGTTAGGCAGAAAGTCTGGTTGTTAGGGGCAGAAATGACAGAAGAAAATTTGACAAAAATAGATCTAAATCTAAATCCAGACATAGAAATATGAAGTGCAATTATTGTCATAAAATGGGTCACATTAAGGCAGATTGTTTCAAATTGAAAAATAAATTGAAACAAAAGGGAAAACCTGGTGAGAAAAATATTGAGACTGCTGAAACTGGTGTTGCAACTGATGAGAATGAAGGAAATATTTTCTTTGTGACTGATGACAGGACAAGGTCTAAAAATGAATGAATTTTAGATTCCAGGTGCTCTTATCACATGTGTCCCAATAGAGATTTATTTTTCACTTATAAATCTTATAATGGTGAAATTGTTTTGATGGGCAATAATGCCGCTTGCAATATTGTTGGTATGGGTACAATTCGAATTAAAATGCATGATGGTATTGTAAGGATGTTCACTAATGTTAGACGTGTTCTTGATTTGAAAAAGAATCTCATCTCTTTGGACACCCTAGAAGCTCTTGGGTGCAAATACACAGCTAAAAATGGCGTTATGAAGGTTTCTAAAGGTGCTCTCGTTGTAATGAAAGCTTGCAGGTTTGATAGTTTATATGTTTTGCAGGGATCTGCTGTCACAGGCTCGGTTGCAGTTTCGTCATCATCATCATTATCTGATTCTGACATCACCAAATTGTGGCATATGCGTTTGGACATATGAGCGAGAAAGGCTTGGGCATTCTAAGCAAAAAGGGACTTCTTTGTGGTCAGAGTACTGGGTCATTGAAATTCTGTGAACACTGTGTCTTTGGGAAGCAAAAAAGAGTTAGCTTCCGTTCTCCAGCAATCCATAAGACGAAAAGTACTCTTGATTATATTCATTCAAATCTTTGAGATCCATCTCGTGTTCCGTCTAAGGGTGGTGCTAGGTATATGTTGACTTTCATTGATGATTATTCAAGGAAAGTTTGGATTTATTTTCTTAAACATAAGAATGATGTTTGCCTCACTTTCAAGCAATGAAAAGTTTTGATTGAGAAACAAACAGGTAAACAGATCAAGTTGCTTAAAACAGATAATAGCATGAAATTTTATGAAAGAGAATTTAATGAATTTTGCAAGAATGAAGGAATTGTTCGGCATTACACTATCAGGATGACGCCTCAACAAAATGATGTGGCCGAACGTATGAACAGAACACTTTTGGAGAAAGCAAGGTGCATGATATCTAATGCAGGGTTGACAAAGGATTTTTGGGCAGAGGCAATCTATATGGCTTGTTATATTGTCAATCATGCTCCTTCTGCTGCTATTAATTTCAAAACTCTTGAGGAAGTTTGGTCAGGTACTCCTGCTAATTATTCTGATTTTAAAATTTTTAGGTGTTCAGCATACATGCATGTAAATAATGAAAAATTAGAACCTCGAACTAAAAGGTGTATTTTCCTTGGGTATGCTTCTGGGGTGAAAAGATACAGATTATGGTATCCTGATTCCAAATCTCCAAAATTTATAATCAGTAGAGATGTTACTTTTCATTAATTCTCTATATTATCGTCCAAGAAGGAGTCGTCTAATTCTTGTCAAACAGATGATAATATGCAGAAGCAGGTGGAGCTTGAGATTGGTAGCTCTGATCCTTCTATTCAACAAGTGCCAGTAGATACATCTGAATCTACTGATGAAAATAATTCAGAAAAGGAAAAATATTTCATTGCCAGAGATAGACCAAAGAGGGATATTCGACCACCACAAAGATATGCAAATTTGGTTGCATATGCTTTGTCTGTCAGAAGAAACTGATGTAGTTGATGAGCCTACTATCTATTTAAATGCGATTTCTTGTGATGATTCTACTAAGTGGTTGGTTGCGATAAATGAAGAAATTGAGTTTCTCCATCGAAATGCTACTTGGGTTCTTGTGAAGCCGCCTCCAGATAAGAAAATTGTTGGATGCAAATGGATTTTCAAGAAAAAAGAAGGTATTCCAAGGATTGAAGATGCAAGGTATAAAGCACGATTGGTTGCAAAGGGCTATAGTCAGGTACAAGGTGTTGATTTTAATGAAATATTTTCACTTGTTGTTAAACATAGCTCTATTTGTATTTTGCTTGCTTTAGTTGCCACGAATGATTTGGAATTGGAGCAGCTTGATGTTAAGATAACTTTCTTACATGGTGAACTTGAAGAGAAAATTTATATGAAACAACCTCAGAGATTTGAAGTTGAAGGAAAGGAAGACCATGTTTGTTTGCTAAAGAAATCCTTATATGGATTGAAACAATCTCCAAGACAGTGGTATAAGAGGTTTGACACTTTTATGTTGAGTCATGGTTATTCAAGGAGCATGTATGATAGTTGCGTTTACTTGCGAAAGTTAGATGATGGTTCTTTCATTTATTTGTTGCTTTATGTTGATGACATGCTCATCGCTGCCAAGAATTTGTCAGAAATTCATATTTTGAAGTTGCAGTTAAGTAGTGAGTTTGAAATGAAACATTTGGGAAAAGTTAAGAAAATTCTTGGTATGAAAATCAAAAGAGATCGAGGAGCTGAAAAATTATTCTTGACTCAAGAAAATTATCTTGAGAAGGTCTTGGAGAAGTTTGGTATGAAAGATACTAAACCTGTGACTACTCCTCTTGCTAGTCATTTTAGACTATCTGCAGCTCAGTCACCACAGTCAGTTGAAGAGAAAGAATATAGGCACGGGGTCCTTATTCCAATGCAGTTGGCAGCATTATGTATGCAATGGTTTGTACTCGTCCAAATATTGCACGAGCAGTCAGTGTGGTTAGCAAATATATGTCTTGTTCTGAAAAAACACATTGGCAGGCTGTGAAGTGGATTCTCAGATACTTGCAAGAGACTTCAAACTGCTGTTTGGAGTTTAAGAGAAATTATAATACTTTGGTTGGTTTTGTAGATTTTGACTATGCTGGAGATCTTGACAGGAGAAAATCACTCTCAAGTTATGTATTTTGCATTGGCGGTTGTGCAGTTAGTTGGAAAGCTACTTTATAACCTGTTGTAGCTTTATCTACTACGGAGGCAGAATATATGGCCATAACTGAGGCAATCAAAGAAGCCTTATGATTGAAGAGTCTGTTTGGCGAACTTAGTCTACATCAAGGTATTACCACTATTTACTTTGATAGTCAAAGTGCCATTCATTTGACTAAAGATCAGATGTATTATGAGAGGACGAAGCACATTGATGTGAAATTTCATTTAATTCGAGATACTATTACTAAGGGAAAAGTCCTTGTTTAGAAAATCAGTACCAAGGAGAATCCTGCTGATATGTTCACGAAACCTCTTCTGGTTTATAAGTTCAAGCAATGCTTGAATTGAGTTGGTATTCGTTGTTGGTGATTTAGGCCCATTGGGCTTATATGGAGAAGGTGGAGCAGTTTTTTGCTATTGTCGATATTGGGGACACGCCAATGTAGAGATTTGTTAGTGTGGCTTTAGTCCCACATCGCTAATAGCAAAGGAAATTCTTTCTTTTGTT